AGTACGGTGACCTCCCAGTAGTAGCAGACCACCAAGTTGCCTAAGGAGAGGTGAACTGGCCCAAGGCAGAATCAGAACAGGTCAAAACTCCCATGCTGATCAGTAGTGGGACTGCACCTGTGAATAGCCACTGCACTCATAATTAACATAGTCAGAACCAGTCTCCCAAAATAAAATTTAAAAATAAAATAAGAATCAAATTGTGGTCTGGGCATGGTGGCTTCACACCTGTAATCCTAGCACTTTGGGAGGACAAGGAAGACTGATCACTTGAGCCCAGTAGTTTGAGGTTGCACTAGCTATGATTGCATCACTGCACTCCAGCTTGGGCGACAAAGCAAGACTTCCTCTCTAATTAAAAACAAAATAAAATAAAATTAGGCACTGTGAAAGAAGAGCCTCAAGCATAAATAGTCCTATGATCAGAAATCTACAGGGAGCAGTGTCTGCCCTACCTGCTAAGGGTTTTGTTAACATGCACAGAACACTTACAGACAATACATAAGGCACTTTAGGATATAATATTTTGTTTAATCCACAGAACAAGGTTAGGATATATTATTTTTTCTGTTTTGGAATGAGAAAACTAAAGCCAAAGAAATTAGGTATATGACTTAATCAAAGTATATGAGAGTGTATGACTTATTCAAAGTCATATAGCCAGAAAATCTTAGAACTGGGACTCAAATTCAGGTAGTCTGATCCAAAATCATATAAATCACACCAAAGAAGTCTCACCAAGACTAAATGTGGCCTAGAATTGCCTATGAGACCCTCAGCTCTTCATTTCAGCCCCATGGTGGGGAGGTGGGGGTCTGGATCCACCAATCCTCATTCATGAACCCAATGTAAAAGAAATCTTATCTTCTAATGAAATGCCATCACTTCTGCTCTCAACCCAGTCAGGCAAAACAGGGGAAGAAAGTAATTTACTTATTGAAGAAACTACCTAAGGTCCTCAGCTTAAAAGAAGGAAGTAAAACAGATAAAAATCCTTTTGCTTAGAGAGATAAAGATTCTACTTCCCCAGATGGCCTTGACAAGGAGTGGGTTCTGTGAAATCTATACTTTATAAAGAGAAGGGAAATGTCACCAGACTTTCATATCAGTAGAACTTTGTTAGAGTCTGTAAAGAAGAAAAATATAACATGGGACCAGCTGTCAATACTTCTGCTTTTAAAAAAGAAAACCACCTTTGGAACAAAATGAGACCACACTGGAACGGAATAGGATGTCTTAGACCTGACAAGTTCTAACTTGATATGAGATTATTAAGAGGCAACCCCTCAATCCTGCTGAGTCAATGGGCAGAATCTATTTTCAGTTTCCAACTTGTCCTGAGACGCTCTCAGTCTCTTGCCAAGTTGAATCAGTGCAGCATCTGTGGGTACTGATTAAGAACTCTATATTACCTAGGAAGAGAGCAGCAGAGAGTGTCAGGATAAAAGCATCCAAAAGTGAAGAAAATTCGCCAACTATCTAGTCATGGAGCCAAATCATTTGTTAACAGTAGGAAAAGGAAAGACCTACTCTGGTGGGTCCAACTCCATATTCCCTGGGCAACTAGGTGTCTTATTCTACTTCTGACAGTCCTAGGCAGGACAGTGTTTGGCCTGAGAATCAAGGTCTCCTTGGAGGCTTCTTTGCGTGGGTGCTTGACTTCTGCTGCCCAAACGTCTTGCTGAGGCTGTGCTCTTACCTCCTGACCCACCCCTTTTACTCACTGGGTTCCTAACCCTGCCTGACTTTCAGCATGCCTGGTCTCCTAAAGCATTCTCCTTTGGAATTTCTGATCTCTTTTGTTGCTATCTGCTTGCCTAGTTTCTGGCACACTCTAAATTCTGCCTGCTTTTGGCTTTTAGGTCACTAATTTGTCCTGTCCTTTGGTTCTTGGGGCCTTCTTGACTCCTGTTCTTCCATCTTTCCATCTTGTTGGCCCATTACCTGGCCAAGACCCTACCTGCAGTTTCCTTCACCTACGTGATATTTTTTAACCTGTTTTTTTTTTTTTTGCAAAGCATCAACGTTGTTCACAGTCCCAGAACTGACATATATTTAGAGCTTGAGGTGGACTAATGAAGAGAAAATGCCTTTTGGGGAAGAGGAAATGTAGGATTAGAGTGGAGGCAAGTTTAGCCTTCTTTAAAACTGAATCTCGGGAAGGCAATCATGGAGAATATAAAGTGAAAAAATACCTGAATTCAAATAGAAATCTTTTTATTGTTGGTAATTTAAGTAACAAAATAGTAATCATCTGAGAAGAATTTAAAATAAGAACTCTGATAGATTATTGCTTCTTAATAATATTCTGGGGTTTGTTTTTGAGAGTCAGAGGATGAGGAAGAACAAAAGTTCTGTTTTTCATATCATGAAAATGTAGTTCCTTTGAACTAGATGGTTTTAGCTCATTATCCAATTTTGAATATATGAATTTAGATTTTTAATGGGTAATATAATTTAAAATTCACAGTTATAATAATTTATTTTTAGTGTCCCAAATTTGAAACCAGTGTTTAATTTTAAATCTAATTGAACTGTGCTATTTTCATAGCGATTCACTGGCTCCTTTTGAAAGGTTTAATTTTAGGTTGTAGGAATTTAAGACAGTTAATTCTTAAAGTACCCCTATTTTAATCAGTTCTAAAGCAACAGTATGTTTTTCTTATAGAGAAATGTGTAACTCACTCTTGTTCCTTCAAAAATGATGAATTATGTGACTCTAGAATTGTATAGTTGGAATTTTCCTTAGAATCGGAAAAACCAAGTCCAGACATTTCTATGTTTGCCAGAATAGTAAAACATTTGTTTTGTTTTAGAGTGAGTAGAGCTAAGTAGCAGAAACACATAGAGAGTTTGCCTATGATAGAATTCTGGCTGTGCACCTTCACAGCATGACCTTGGGCAAGTTACCCAACCTTTCTCCACCTGAGAAAGATTTTTAACCAACTCTGGCCACAGTTTGTGACCTTGAGCTCTTTCTGTGAGTTCTTATTTTTATAACTAGAAATAACTGTGCTGTGCAAGCAACTGGAATTTAAATTTTGCCTTACTACAGGTGGTAGTTATAGACCTTGACAATTTTTGAACAGACTTCCCAGTTACCACCCCCAACCTTCTGGCCTGAATTTCAGAAGTATCTCTCCCTCTGAACTATTTGATTCTGTGTCAACTTGATTCTATTCAGTTGCTGCCTAATCCAACACTGACAACTGCTGTCATGAACTGTAGCCTGATACCTGGAAATATTTTGAACCTGTTGGCCTGTCAGCATTACCAAGTTCCAGTCCATCCCAGTGGATGTGTTCAACACTGGTTCTCTTCTCCTCTCTGGTATCAGCAGACCATACTCGGCCCACTCTGAGAAGTCAGATATGTGATTCTGTACTGTATAATCCTACAGTATCAAGAAATAGATTATGCTCATCAAAGTGTTTCATAAGACAGAGACATGGGTGACATAGTTCAAAAAGATCTCTATTAATGTAACTATGGTCAAAAGTTTTACAGGAGTCGGTGCCTTAAAGGGACTAGTTTTGTTTACTAAGAAGATTAATTTGTGAGGAAAAGCCCATTTCCCTATAACTCAAAAATAAATTTTTACCTAAAGCTTTTTGGGAAGGTTTGTTACAGATGCTGGCGCTCCATCAATTTGTTCAATAAGGAGAAAAATCAGGCTGGGTGTGGTGGCTCACACCTGTAATACCTACACTTTGAGAGGCAGAGGAGAGCAGATCACCTGAGGTCAGGAGTTTGAGACCAGCCTGGCCAACATAGTGAAACCTTGTCTCTACTAAAAATACAAAAAAGTTAGGAGGGCTTGGTAGTGGACACCTGTAATTCCAGCTACTCAGTAGGCCGAGATGCGAGAATTGCTTGAACCCAAGAGGCAGAGGTCCCAGTGAGCCAAAATTGTGCCACTGCACTCCAGCCTGGGCTACAGAGGAAGACTATCTCAAAAAAAAAAAAAAAAAAAAAAAGTAATCCTACACAGCCTTATAGCATGGCATTTTAGACATTTTTTCAGACCTTCTACATAAATCCAGTGCCTACTCTGTGCTAAGCATCATGCTGAACACTTTATAACACATAAACCCATTTAATCTTCTTGTTGCTGAAGATGAAACTGAGGCATAAAGATTTTAAATAGCTGGCCCAAGGTCATATAGCTAAAAAGTGGCAGAACTAAACAAAGAGACTCTGTTTTCAGTGGTTCTTGTAGAGCTCCTAACCACTCTAGTGGAAAAAAGAAATATTGAAAAAAAAAAGAAAAAATCTGGCCGGGCATGGTGGCTCACATCTGTAATCCCAGCACTTTGGGAGGCCAAGGCAGGTGGATCACAAGGTCAGGAGATGGAGACCATCCTGGCCAACATGATGGAACCCCATCTCTCCTAAAAATACAAAAATTAGCTGGGCGTAGTGGCGCACACCTGTAATCCCACCTACTCAGGAGGCTGAGGCAGAAGAATCACTTGAACCCAGGAGGTGGAGGTTATAGTGAGCCGGGACTGTGCTACTGCACCCCAGCCTGGCGACAGAGAAAGACTCTGTCTCAAAAAAAAAAAAGAAAGGAAAAAACTCAGGAAAAGATGAAGAATATACTCCACAAGAAGTTTGAAACCCTTTTACATTTTCTGAATTTGCTGGTTCTAACTGGATTTTACGGGGGGTAATCAGCAAGGAAACATCTGGATTCTCTAAGATCGTTACTGTCACCTGAGAGATGACATTGAGGGAATCGAATGTTTCCTGGACTTGGATGGTTATTCTTGTGCTCAAGTGAATTGGGAAGTGTTTAGGGTTAGTCATCAGAAGGAAGAAAACACAACAAACTACCCAGTGAACAGTGGTCTGTTAGAGCCATCAGGTCGTCTCTTGCTGTGTTTGTTTCTATGTGATTTTCCTTTTCTGTGGAGAACATGGCATATCCTTACACACAAAATTAAGAGAGTAGGGAAACCCTATTGTGAAATACTATTTTAATATTATGACATTGTCATGCTCGCTTTGAGGGCTCATATAGTAAAATTGGAACCATATAGAGAAGAGTATCGGCTTCTGCACATGGATGACATGCAAATTCGTGCGACATTCCATATTTTTAAAATCTGTATATTATGACATTGACAGTTTATACAAAATCCCAGAGACTATTGCCAGAGACTGAAGATGTCATCAGATGGCCTTAGGACAAGTTCATATCCTCCTGAAGTCTATAACTCACCACAGTAAGGTGACTCTTCCAGTAACTTCCATGTGACAGGTCTCCTATGATGTTCTTTTCTGACATTCTTGCCATAGTCACTCTGAATTCTCAATATAAGTCTTCTAGTGCAACATTGAGATTAGGAGGAATTTCAAGTTCCAGAATTACAGTGTTATGCCTTAAGTTAGACAAAAATCTTAGCACCAAATTATTATAGGTGTTTCATTCTCTTAAAGAACTATTCCACAAAACCCCGGCACTTCTTCAGGGAATGCACTGATAAGAATAAAGAACAAAATAAAAATTGTCATTCATGACTTTCAGATTTTGAATGCTGCTTTCAAGGTAAAAACTTTTTTTTCTTTTTTTTTTGAGATGGAGTTTAGCTCTTGTTACCCAGGCTGGAGTGCAATGGCGCGATCTCGGCTCACCGCAACCTCTGCCTCCTGGGTTCAGGCAATTCTCCTGCCTCAGCCTCCTGAGTAGCTGGGATTACAGGCACGCACCACCATGCCCAGCTAATCTTTTGTATTTTTAGTAGAGACGGGGTTTCATCATGTTGACCAGGATGGTCTCGATCTCTTGACCTCGTGATCCACCCGCCTCAGCCTCCCAAAGTGCTGGGATTACAGGCTTGAGCCACCACGCCCGGCAGATAAAAGCCTTTTTAAAACCTATTTTATTTTTTTTACTTCTTATCTTCTTGGATGCTTCATTTATTCATTCATTCTTTTATTCTCTTAAGAAATGTTTATGAAGTACCTTCTCTATGCCAGGTGTTAATAACAATAAATTATAATTTCCCTTAAAATTCTTATCATTCTTCCTTTTTAAAGCATTGTATTCTATATTGAAAGCAGATACACAAAATACCTTCTCTACTTTATAAGTTTCTTGTGTTCCATACTCTGAACAGTATTTTAAAAGATTTTCGACACAGTAGATCCTTAATATTTGGTGGTAGAGTTAGTAGAAAATTAGGGACTCATTGTATTTTTAAATTCAAATGTCCAATGTGCCTTTTCACAGAAGATAAAAAAGAGCTCTGTCTCTCATTTCAGTCTATGTTCTCGTGATTAAATCACAATAGACTTCATTTTTCATGCGGTGCAAATTCAGTCACCACCTTGCCTTACCAATACCCTGCACCATCTAGTGGCATGAGAAGGTGAATATAGACTACAGAGTATATGGAAAAAAACACTTGTCTTCAGGAATTTCAGGTAAAACATGGGTTCTTTTTAACGGAATCATTAATCCAGAGCCTAATCTTCCTCTATTCTTTTCCCTTGCTCCTTTCTTGCTTCCCATTCTGAAGCTTCAAAGAAGCTCCTGTTTGAGTGTACTTTCCCAAGTCACTGCTATGATTTTAACTCAGAGGTCACTAAGTCAAATGCCTACAGGGACCAGATGGGAAAGATAAATAAATGCTGGGGGCTGAAGCAAGAAAGCTAGGAAATGAGAGGGACTATAGCAGACCGCAGGACAAGTGCCACACGAGGTCACATCAGCTTGTGTGTGAGAGGTTTGGTTAGCTGATCTGATTTTTAAAACAGCCAGAATCTAGATATTTATGTAAAATGTCCCAATTTGTAAATATTGGAAGAAACAAAACACAGTCTGCCAAGGGCTGCTATTAAGAACCTGTGTTCTTATTGGTATTGAATTCAAAGCACTGAAAACACCACAGGTTTCTGAAACATCCTTGAAGAATGTCAGTTGAGTTCTATGATCTAACCTTAAGGTCAAGGCAAAAGAGAAGGCAAAGATGGTTATCAGGAGTGTGATTTGATATTGGTCGAATTAGTACATTTTCATTAGTCTAATTAGTAGGCTTCCATTCTGCAGTTTAAAAAAAATGTAATAAAGTAACTTTTTTTTAGCTAAGAAAGGGGGAATGATATAAATATATATTCAATTTTAAAAATACACATTGAATTTTGCTTTTATTTATATAAAGAAGAAACACTGGCACTAGAAGGATAAATTTAAAATTGATAAAAGTGATTACCTATGGAGGTAGTACAAGAGAGAATAAAATTTCTCAATGAATATTTTTAATTTAGTTTTTATTTTTGAACCAAATAAACATATTACACATTCAAAAATTAAATTTAAAAATAAAAACAAAAAACATTAAAATGACAATTTTTATTAACAGAGAAGTATGATAGGTAGAAAAACAAATTAGTGACTGGTCACTGTGCCATGTATCTGTAGTCATAGCTACTAGGGAGGCTCAGATGGGAGGACTGCTCAAGCCCAGAAGTTCTAGATTACAGTGAACTATGATCTTGCCACTGCACTCCAGCCTAGGCAAGACTAAATAAATAAATTAGAAAGCATAAAAATATATAACTATAACATTGTATGAGGGAAGCAGAATTTAAAAAGTTCAAGAAGAAAAGGGAACAATGTTATATTTCTGATAGCTAAATAAACAACCTTGTAACTTACTCTTTAAAGGATGATACTCATACTCTTTAAATGGTGTCAAGGAGCATGATACTTATATTGGATACACTTATGAGTTGTGTGACAGGGTTTTTTAATTAATTTTTTTTTTTTTTTTAGACAGAGTCTCGCTCTGTTGCCAGGCTAGAGTGCGATGGTGCAATCTTGGCTCAATGCAATCTCCACCTTCCAGGTTCAAGCAATTCTCTGTCTCAGCCTCCTGAGTAGCAGGGATTATAGTCGCCCACCACCACACCCAGCTAATTTTTATATTTTTGAGACACAGGTTTTCACCATATTGCCCAGGCTGGTCTTGAACTCCTGACCTCGTGATCCACCCACCTTGACCTCCCAAAGTGCTGGGATTATAGGTGTGAGTCACTGTGCCTGGCCACAGTTTTATTTTTAAATGCCAATATTTACAACACAAACCTGAAATTTACTTCCTTTACAATTGTTTAATTTCATGATAAAAGTTTTGGATGTTGCTATAAAACATCAGAGAATTCATATCTTTTTAAAAATTCTTTTGAGAATGTATAAACAAGAAAGTTCAAAGACCATTGATCTTGATTTTCCTGTATTGGAAGCCATTGGAGTAATTTCTTTGTCTCCATCATGTGTAATGTAACTTCTGGAAGGCCAAAGTTACACTATACATGATGACTAAGAGGCCGCAAATTAGCACCTCTGAACACAATCAGATGAATTAGTTTTGAATTAGCTAGCTTTTACTTAGAAAAACTGAAATCTTTAAGGACCATAAGAACAAGTACCAGAACAGGTACATTTAGATGTTTGCAAAGTAGGTCTAGTGTATGACATGAGGGATGGCCAGGCCTCTGCAGTGAGAGTTCAGGAGAACATCAGACCAGAGGCAGAAAGGATCCTGCCCAAATTTGCCAAGGCCAACCTGCTTGAATCCATCTTGGGACTCATCCAAGTGGGTTTATAGCCAAACTGCAAGTTCAGTGGTACAAGGGCCCACCTGGATGCAAGGTTCTCAGCTTGGGCCCCTGGAGGGCCAGGGTCCTGGGGCATGTGAAGACAAGGGAAGCAACTCAGGTTTGAAATGAAAATCTTATAAACTAATTTTCGCCATTCAAATACAACATTAATTTCATTTAGTCTTGGGTGACTCTAAATGGAAACCTGAATCACCATTTCTTCTCATTTGGTTCAAATTTTGTCCTTGTTATCCTTGTTTATATCCTTTACCATGAGAAACCCCAGACCACCAGGCCCCTCTCACCTCCCACCTAACCTTCTCAAGGCTATTCACATCTCCTATTCTGAACTCTTCTCAAGACTCCCCAGTTTCTGAGCTTTTCCACTGTGCTCTCTATCATCAGCAAAATCCTTTACATCCTTAACTGCTTCTCTGAGTATCTCCTTTATCTTCTTGTCCTAATGCCAACCTGACTCATCCCTGTGGACACTGTTGTCCCTGCAGCCTTCCCAGCACCCTCATGTCACTGGACTGGGAGGTAGGAGAGGGCTCTTCTTCTTTCAAGCTATTCTTCCTCCCACCTCTCTAATTCCTCCCCCTACCCATTATCTTTTTTAAAAATCATCTCCTCTGATATCGTCACTCACCTTCGTCATTCCTCACCTACTCACTCACAGATCACTGTCTTATTTATCAAGGACTTTAGCTTTTGCTACTGGCATCTTCTCCAGCACCTCCCCTCTTCTAAGTCTTACTGTTTTTAATACACGAGCATATGATCTATATGAAAGTCTGTCCTTGACTCTTTTCCAATGATCCTGCCTCCACATCCCTTAGCCATTCACTGCCATGGTCACATCCCACCCTAGGTTTCATCGGTGCTCCATAGTATCAGTTTCATGGATCCCACTCAAATTACCACACTGTTGTGGTCACCCTGCAGAAGCTGGATGGGCTCCTCCACCCAAAATTTCATTTGGATATTGAGACTGATGATGCCACACATGCACCAAGATGGTGTGAAGAGGTTTGTTAACATACTGCAGCTTTCTGGGGAGAGCAGGGGAGGCTCCCAGACCGGTTAAAAATGGCTTAAGAGAGCAGAGAAAGGAGACTACCTTGGGATTTCATGGTGGTTAAGGGGTAGGACCACGGTGAGGGTTCTCTCACACGGGCTAAGTCTTGCATGGTTTGAACTTCCTGCTGGCATCAAAGGCATCTAGGCTTTCTTATGTTTGCACAGGGGAAAGAGGAGTGGTAGGGCTTCAAAGTCATCAGCACATAGAAAAAATGGAGTCAGACTTATAAAATATCTATATATTTAGAGACGGTGTCTCATTCTGTTGCCCAGGTTAGAGTATACGGCACCATCATGGCTTGCTACAACCTCCTGCCTCAGCCTCCAGAGTAGCTGGGACTATAGGTGCACACCACCATGCTCAGCTAATTAAAAAAAATTTTTTTTTTTTTGAGATGGAGTTTTGCTGTTGTTAC